CTGTTAGAAAGTGTACTTACAGAGATACAAGCCTATTTCTTCAAGCTATTATTTGCTGTTTTAAGACACCCAGGCCTGAAACATGAGAGCAGTAAACCTTTATCACAGGACTGATAAAAGCTGATATAAAAGCTGATACTGAAGGCTGAAACGCAGCACAGTTAGTACTGTAAATTCCAATACATAAGTAATCTAGATAGGCACTTTAAAGCCAAATTACCTGGTGACAATTGTGCAATTGTGCATTGTGTGTACCCTCTTAGATTATTAAATAACAACAGCCAGTGAGGTAAAATTCTGTATAGGTCAGAAATCTGCTCACAGCTCAATAAGAATGCTTATCTTTGGATTCTCTTTAGGTGGATGAGTTAATGAATCCACAGACTTGGTTGGATGCAGGAGCTCAGGTTTTCTACTCCTTCTCCTTGGCTTTCGGGGGCCTCATCTCTTTCTCCAGTTACAACTCTGTTCAGTGAGTAAAGGTCTTGATTACACAGTCATAATGGAACCCAGTGTCCAGCAAGTGTCCTCACGCTATGTCCCTTTAAAATCTACTTGCAGCAACAACTGTGAGCAAGACGCTGTTCTCATCTCCATCATCAATGGCTGCACCTCGGTGTACTCTGCAACGGTGATCTACTCCATCATCGGTTTCAGGGCAACGCAGAAATTTGATGAATGCCAGGGAGAGTGAGTTTCAGTTTGCACAAAAGATGACATTACAATAGGGGGAAAATGAGAGAGTGAGATTTACTTGTATCTAGATAGACTCATATGAGTTTTTTCTTACTTTTTTTCAGTAACATCCTGCATCTCATCAATGCCTTTGACTACCCTGAAACCTCCATCACAATAGACAACTACGATCAGGTTCTGACCAGCCTAAATCAGACAAATCCAGATATCATCCAAGGTTTGCCCTTAAAAACCTGCGACATTCAGAATTTACTCAGTCAGGTCAGTGGAGCCTTTATTTTTTTGTATCCTGTTAATTCCCTGATTATTTGCCCAGTTTGAGTGTCACAAAAATGATTCAAAATCGATTCAGAACTTGAAAGATTTGCCCTGTACCGCTTCAGGGTGTGGAGGGAACGGGCCTGGCCTTCATCGTTTTCACAGAGGCCATCATCAAGATGCCTGTTTCACCTCTCTGGGCAGTCCTCTTTTTCATCATGCTCTTCTGTCTCGGCCTTTCAACTATGTTTGGGAACATTGAGGGAGTGGTGGTTCCCCTTCAAGACCTTAGAGTTCTTCCTCAAACTTGGCCTAAAGAAGTTTTTACTGGTAACTTTCTCACATTGAGAACTTCTTCATAACCACCATGGAAAACTGGGTATGATTGTAACCGCCTGCTTGTGTTGTTTTTTCAGGTCTTACTTGCTTAATATCCTTTGCTCTTGGGCTCATATTCACCCTACGCTCTGGGAACTACTGGCTAGCTCTTTTTGACAACTTTGCAGGCTCAATCCCCCTCCTAATCATCGGTTTCTGTGAAATGTTTGCAGTTATCTACATCTATGGGATTGATAGGTAAGTGTGCCCGTCCTTAGGTGATCATTGAGTCAGCTTCCAAAGTAATGGCCTTCTAGGTACTTTATCAAACATCCGACCATCTAAACAGAATCATGTTTGTACTTGTCATTATGGGAAAGTTCGCTTTCCTGGTATTTTCATAAGAGGCAGAAAAGATCAGTGTTCAGTGAGGCAACCAACAGTTCTTGTTAGAGTTCAAACAAAGCGTTGCCTTCTGACCTTGCAGTAGAGATAATGTAACTTATCACAGCAGAAGTGTGTTTTAATGTTGCAACAGGAAGGGGAGGAATGTGTAAAATGTACTTTTGGCTTAGAGTTTCTGACCATGCACATGAAAGCAGTTAAGTTGACTTATTCATAACAATTATCTAATAGTTAGAAGAAAAGGTGCAAAAAAGGTGGTGTAATATACATCTTTTAATGTTGTCAATTTGGACTCAAAGTTAGCTTAGAGAAAAATAACAGACTATAGTCTGCTTTGGTATCAGCCAGTTGAGCAAACTGTGACATGTGATGCTTTATTTACTGTAACTAATAAAATCTACAAGGTTGCCTTTTATGGATGATTTTTACACGTACGTATGTCTCCCTCTTATTGCTTTCAAACAGGTTCAACAAGGACATTGAATTTATGGTTGGCCACAAGCCCAATATTTTCTGGCAGGCAACATGGAGAGTGATTAGCCCACTCCTTATGATCTTCATCCTAATTTTCTACTTTGTTACCCAAGTCACCAAAGATTTAACCTATCTGGTGTGGGACGAGGAAGCGGTAAGTTTGTTGTTCACAGTAGTTTACAGGTTTCAAGAAACAAGTTTTTACATACAGTAACTGCAGGAATAAAGATGTAGTTTGATGTTTTGTGCTGCAAAATGTAACTTTTTTGTTGATCCCGATCACAGGCGAGCTTTCCCATACTGGAAGCACGTCCCTATCCCTCTTGGATCTATGCCATCATCTTTATCCTTGCTGGAATTCCCAGTCTGGCCATCCCCATTTTTGCCCTCTTTAAATTTTTCCAGAGGAAGTGCTGCAAGGACAAAAGCTACAAAGATCACCCAGTGGACACTATCTCAGCCAAAATAGAAATGAACGGCAAAGCAAAGTTCTAGGTTGATGTCGCCTTGATTGTTTAATGTGACTGATGTGTACTTGCTTTTATTGATGTGTTCTATGCACAAGATTGCGACTGCTGACTATTATCTTTGAAAAACATATGTATATTTTTAAGTTGTTAGTTAGTTTCTGCATGATTGTGCACTTTGGGAGATTTATTATAGGGCTACAGGACACCCAATGGCTGCTTAGCTTATCTTGGCAGAAGGAAACAGGTTGACCTGCTCTGTTCATAAAATATGCTTACAAGCATCTAAAGCTCAATAATTAACATGTTCTCAGATTGCATCTGTATGGAGTGCACAAAGAAAAAAAAACATGGGTGAGCCGGTCTGATATGTTTCTCCTGTACCCACAGAAAGTAGTAATGTTAAGTTAACCAGTCAGTGGTTGAATATATAACTATTCTTTTGATATTTTAAATGTACCACACATGTATGTCTAATACAGACAATTGACTAATTATGGGACAAATCCTGACCATCGTTCCCTACAGTGATGGCTTTGCAGTCACTAAATCTTTCAGAAGAATGGTATTCATTCATTCAATCAATGCAAAAATGAACTGAAGATGCTTTGGTGTCACATGGCAACCCAGCATATTACTCAGACACTTTATGTTGCATTTTCCTGTGGTGTGCCAAGTGCCTCTATATACATGAGGTTTATTTTAATATTTTGTAAATAATCCTTGGATTAAGTAAGATTTTTACACACTGTAATAATGTCTTAGATTTTTTTAAGATGGAAAAAGACGAAGAATACGGGCCTCGCTACCTTTCAGCCCCCTTTTGTGTTGTTTGGTTATTGTGTTTTTAAGGCGGACTGTTGTAAACTTCTACCTTGTGATGTACAGTTCCAAGAAAAGGTTTGTGAAATTTCTGCACTGATCCTAACTTGAGGCACAACTATTGATAAACTTTGTCTGACTAAACTAGCACAAACAACGGAGCTTTTCATGTCATTATTTGAACACACTGAGCACACCGATCATGTCATATGTTTGACTTACTAAATATTGAATTGATTAACTGTTATACTTTCTTTAGCAGCGTCCATGAGATGTTTTCAGTAGCCGCTCGTGAAAGTTATGCGATGAGCAGCAGGACTTTTGTAAAAGTGTTTCAGTTTCTCAGTATTTCTGGAATGTTTTGTACAACACTCTTCATCAGAGCTCGTCTTTTTCACTGTGTTCTTTGGCTCATTGAAGTATTATAGCACCCAGCAATAACAATTGGTCATGAAACCAGTATCGATGGCTGCAAGGCAACTGGGACAAAGCAACTCCAAACCATGATGAAACCTCCGCCATGCGGAGATGGAGTTTTTAGTGTTAGTGTTCAGCAGGTGCTGGCTGACCACTTCTGGTCTCAATTCATCCGGCTGTACCTTCCAAGCCTGCAGCTGCGGCAGAAATGGCAGTCATCCCCCGCGGATGTCACAGAAGGTTTGGTGGTGATGATCGTAGATCCTCAGCTGCCTCGCACTTCCTGGCTCGTGGGTCGCATCTCCAAAGTCCACCCCAGTGCAGACGGGCACATCAGGTCTGCTGACATCAAGGTGAAAGACAGGACCTTCACCCGACCTGTGGCGAGGCTGGTGGCACTGCCTGCCCTCCCGGACGAAGACAGAAGGCAATCATAGTGACTTTGTTTGTAAAGTTGCCTTTTGTTGTGAGCAAATGTACTCCATACATTTGGGGGCGGCTGTACAAAAGGCCCCGTAGTTACGGTTGTTGTTCAGTTGTTAGTTCACCTGTAGTGTTTTAGAGTGGCCAGTAGAGGTCACCCTACCGATTTGTATGAGAGAGACTATGGGCAGGGAGAAACATGGGCAAGGCACCTGAGCTTTTCTGCTCCGGATTACCAGCAGAGAAGTGGTCATTCCGTGAAAAGTGTGCGTTGAGCAACGTTAAGTTTGTGATGTGTGAGGATGTGATAATAAGATGTGTTTAGGACTGTAACTGAGGTTAGGGGGGAAATTACTATGTTTCTGTCTGTGCCGCTAGTGGGCGCTAGGCTAAGCCAAGCTAACTCTCCTGCCATGTGGTTGGGTATAACTGTGTACTGGGTTAGCTCTCTCAGTGGGTCTATACGTGAGTCTTGGGTAATGTATGGCTTATGGCAGGGGTCTGCAACCTTTAACACCCAAAGAGCCACTTGGACCCGGTTTCCACGCAAAAGAAAACACTGGGAGCCGCAAATACTTTTTGACATCTAAAATGAAGATAACACTGCATATATTGTTTTTTTAATCTTTAAAAAAAAATTAAAGACTAAAGAGCCGCATGCGGCCGACACTCCGGGGAGTGGTAGCGGCAAATCTGAACTAGCATCTTACAGTCCTCCCAGTCCAAGCTATCTACCCAACAAAATGCCTCAACAAACAATCAACGTAGCTTTAAATAGCTGCATGCCTTATGACAAAACTAGCAAACGCTGGGGGGAACTAACTAATGCAGCGACACATTGTTTAGCCAGGGACATGATGCCTATTCAGAGTGTGGAAAGAGGTGGTTTCAAAAAGATGCTTAAAACGTTCAATCCACGCTACAAGCTACCCACCAAGAAATACTTCTCTAAAGTCGCCTTGTCCGCTTTATATGAAGGGATCCGTACTGAGGTGTCAAATGCGTTATCTTCAGAGTGCGTCCACCACGGACATGTGGTCAAGCCGAACATCGGACCCCTACATGAGCCTCACAATACATTACGTGGACAAAGACTGGAAGCTACAAAACAAGTGCCTCGAAACAAGTTTTTTTCCCCGAGGACCATACTGGGGAAAATATAGCCAAAGTCTTAAAAGTGTTCCTCAGCTCAAACAAGTGTGTGTGATGACAGACAACGGGGCCAACATTGTGAAAGCCGTTGCACTCAACAACTGGACCAGACTTTCATGCTTCAGACATCGCCTGCACATTGCAATAGGTAAGTTAATTATAACGTCAGATTAAGCACTTATTGTATTAGTTTAAATGGTAATAATACTGTTTGTGTTATTAATCTCTGAATGTGGGTACTTGTGCTGCAAGATATATATACAGGGTGGGCCATTTATATGGATACAC